CCCCTCGTCCGCGAGCCGTTCGTCCCAGAGGCGCACCCGCGAGCGGACCGGCCCGCCCCGCTCTCCGGCCGCCTCCGCCGACCCCGAGACCCGCCGCCCATCCCTCCCTCAACAACAAGCCCGTCTTCCTTCCCCCCGATGAGCCAACTCCAAGCATCTCGGACCCGATGTCTGAAGGCCCCTCGTCCGCGAGCCGTTCGTCCCAGAGGCGCACCCGCGAGCGGACCGGCCCGCCCCGCTCTCCGGCCGCCTCCGCCGACCCCGAGACCCGCCGCCCATCCCTCCCTCAACAACAAGCCCGTCTTCCTTCCCCCCGATGAGCCAACTCCAAGCATCTCGGACCCGATGTCTGAAGGTCCGGCCGATCTCAACGACCCGGCAGCCAGCGGGGAACACGAGGTCCGGTTCCAGCCGGAAGCCGAGACGGATCTGGAGGCGGAGATGGAGCCGGAGAGCCAAGAGCAGGGGCCGCGGGAGGACAGTTACCGGCTGTCGCTGCGGCTCCGAGAGGTGGAGAACGACATGGAGGCGTACGCGCGCACCGCCGAGGAGCTCCGGGCCATGCTGGAGGAGGACGAGGAGGAGGCGGCCCGCGCGCAGGTCATGGAGAACCTGGAGTTCTGCAACTACACGCTGGAGACGCTGGCTTTGGAGCAGCGCCAGTTGCAAGGTCAGTGTCTTCTTCCATTTGGACTTTTGTTGATCGATTCCTTGCTCGATGGCCAAAGTGTCGCCGGCCTGCTGTTTTCACGCGCGCTTTGTTTCACCTCGCCGAATGACCCCGGCGCTTCAGCAAGGCGGGGACCAAAACACGACGTTTTGGCAAACGATGGCAGCCGCTGTATCGTCCCGCCTGCTTCTGTACAACACCAAAGTTGGCTGTGGCACAGAATGTGGCGCGATGGCGTCGTCGCCTGCGTACGCGCTGTCAGAACTCCACAATTTATTTTGTGGGAATCGGAAACATCTTGCAGCGACATCGCGTTAGGAAACTCTTGTAAATGTGTACGCTGCATGGTAGCGGCAATCCTAAACAGTCGTCGTTTTCTCCTTTTATTTTTTTTTGGAAGCTCTTTAACCTTCAGCCTGCTTTAATTGTTTAAAGGCCCCCCCCCCGTCCTCCTTTGTCTTCTCATCGTCTTTTGGCAACAGCGTTGAGCCCAACAAAACGGGGCACTTGGAGACGGCAGAATGTTTGACACATGAGCTGATTCCACGGGCATCATGAGCCCTTTTACAACAAGTGAGACCGCGACAACCTCATTTGCATGAGCTAACACCCCCGCAGGAATGCTGTACTGCACGCGCGCACAAATGCGGTTTCGGTCGTGATTTGGATCGGAAAGCTGAGATGTCTTCGGCTGATCATTCGAACGATCCTATGCAAGTAGAGGGAGGCCATTGGAGGAGGATCTTGTTTTTTTTTTATTTTTATACCCCGTGAAACATGCCATCGTGAGCCTCGGTGAAGATGTTTATATTGTCTGGAAGAAAAAACATTTTGTCGTCACGAAACAAAACAAAAAGCAACTGAAAAAATTGTCACTTGCTTATCACCGTTGAGAGTTTAGAACTGGCTGGGAAATTGACACGGTCCCACGGGTACGGCTTCCTTTCCCTTCCGTTTGTGTGGTATTTAAACCGGTCTTTGTAGTTTGCTGCCTCTCTTCAAACGAGATGAGATTGAGAGCAGAGGAGGGGGGGAGGGGGTTGTTGTTGTTTGAATATAGGCCTCCGTTTTTGTTTTTTCTTTCCTTTTCCTCACACAAAAGTGTTTGAGGTCTGAGAGTGAGCACGGTGTTCTACAATAGCTCATTGTGTGCTCTGGCTTCTACTTTTTCAGGCTCATGGTCTGACCTCTTAGTTCCTTGCCTTCTTGACTTTGTGTTTCAAACACTGACTTCCCTCCTAAGTCCAAGCTGTCAAAACAGTCCCTTTTATTTTTGCGGAGGTACTCTGGCCAGTCTGTATGACCCAGTGACCAGGAAATGAAATTGAAATCAAACAGGACAGAGGGCAGGACGGACGGAGCATTGTTGTGGAATCGAAACCTCACCACTTGTCTGCGGTCGTACTCGGCAATATTGTGGAATTTGTCTCTATCTGCCGTCAAAGACTTGTCCCCAGGGACTTTGTTTTCCTGGAAGCGGTGGGAGCAGCCAATTGAGACAGTGGGAGGGGGCCTTCAACAATTCGCTGAGACGACAGCAGGGAGGGTCCGATTCTGTTCCACTGAGAGCTGGGAGGTGCTCGGGCCAGGCAGTCCCGCCGAGGCCATGTCGACCAGACCGAGAAAACAAGTGGGAGACGGCGGCTGGCCAAAATGGTGAACAGGTGGAGTCTCCCGCCGCGCTTTTTGAAGGAATGCCAGAATCGGCAGCAACGGAATAAACCTCGTTGAAGACCAAAGCGCATCGGCGCCGGCAAGCCCATTTCGACAACGAGGAGCATGGAGAGCCCCGCCGTTTATGGCAACCCCGTCACGTTTGTTCCTGTGGACTGGAACTTTGCTCCAGAGGCCACGGTGAGAAGGGGCAAGAGCGTGGAAGAGCTGGGGGATGCCGGATGGGCCAAGGAAAGGGAGCGACTGGCTCATCTGCAACATTTCCAGCAACTGCAGCTTCGGCAGCAACAGGTCGCGTATGCCGGCTACGGCGCGGCTCCCGCCGGCCTCCCGGGGCAAGCCGCGATGGCGCCGATGCCCTTTAACCCCGTTCCGATTCCCGGTTGTCCAATGCCGATGCAGACGGCGACGATGCCTGCGCGGGGAGGCCCGATCGCCGTCAGGGGCGCGGTCCCGCCTCCGGCGCAAGTGGGCGCTCCGTGGCCCGCGCGATGGGATCCCCGGGCGCAGGGCGGCCAAACGGGCGGCGAATATGACCAACGGCGCAAGTCACCTTACAGAGACAACGTCTACTACCATCCGGGTTCACAGGACGGCCACCTCGACGTGAGGATATCCGAATGGAAAGGCAAACATTGCTTCTATCAAGGCCCGGAAGATTACGACCGGGACCACGTCCGGGTGCCGCGAGCAAAGGACGGCGGCATCCATGAAGGCCACGCCAAATTCCGGGAGGAGAGAAGACGAGACAGAAGAGGGATCGACGGCCAACGGAACTCTGACAGTGACGGCCACAGGCGTCGCGGAGAATTGGAGGAGTATGATTGGAAGGAAAAATACAAGGACAGGGAGAATTATGAACGAAGAAAGCGCGACGACAGAGAATATTACGAAGAGAGGAGACATCGTGAACGTGATCTCAAGGCACATGACAGGTACAGCAACGAATATGGAGACTACGACTATGACGACGCTCGCCGGGACGACGCTCGTGACAGGTACGGCAACGAATACGGAGACTACGACGACGACGACGCGCGAGGTACGGCAACGAATACGGAGACTACGACGACGACTACGACGCGCACAGAGACGATCTCCGATATCGCGATTGTTATCCTGCCCGAGACGCGGACTATTATGATTCCGCCGATGACAAACACTATCGGGAAAAAGATCGATATCGAGAGGAGGACCGTTACAGGGAACGAAAATACAAGGACAAGTACCAGGATCGGCGTTCAGAAGACGAATATGACCGCAGAGAACGAGGTTACAAAGACAAGGACGTCTACGACCGAAGAAGTGAAGAAAACGACGCAAAGAGACAAAGGGGCCAGCGGGACTCTGAATTGGACGAGCGCAGCAGCGATCGATGGGGGGAGCGCTCTTCTCGGTACAAGCACGAGATCCGGAGAGACGAGCACCCCGACCGCCGACGAAAGGACGGCGACCGGAAGGCGCACTATGAGCGCCGGGACTCCTACGGTCACGAGAACGAATGGCGCCCCCGCCGGACAGAAAGGGAACCCTACGAACCCAGAGCCGCACCTGCCCACCGCCGACCCAGGGACAAATATCGGGATTTGCGCTCTCTGTCTGTGGATTCGTGCGGTGAGGAATACTCGCAACCCCGACGCAAGACCCATTGCGAGGAATGGGTGGAAGAGCAAAACAAGAAGCTGGCGCTCCGGCAAATGCGCTCTTTGGAGGATCCCGTCTTGTACAGCCCCAGCGAGGAGCGGGAGAGAGGCGACCGCTCCAGCGCCGCTTCCAAGCGTGGCCGGAAGCCCGTTTACGTGGGTTCCTTGGATCGCAACAGCTTCTACAGGAAGACGGCTCCCACCTCTCTGGCAAAGTCGCCCTTCGCCACCAACAGGAGGCCAAACCGAGGTAAACACCTGGATGTTGTCGTGTCACGCAATGTCCTCGGTTTTCCATGTGCCAGCGTGTCGGTATGCACATGAGTAGTCGCCATCGCGCAGGAAGAGGAGAGCAATTTCGATCTTGGCGCCGCCGACCTGCGGAACCGGTTTTGTGGCCTCTTGCTTTTTGTTGTCATTGTCCCTCGAGGTAGTGATCGGGTTTGCCGAAGACGTCTTCGCATGTGGACGAGTCTGTTTCGTTCAAGCGAAACAGACGTGTAAATAGTCTTGAACAAAGCACCCAAAAGTCAGCGGATTACGTCAGTTGATCAGTCATGGAAGCAAATAAAGTGATTGAGGTCTGGGCTCCATCACAGGGACCGGACGACTTGCTCATCAAAACCATTTGAAAGTCTCTCTGTGTGTAATTGAGGGAACATTTCCAAAAAGAGAGAGCCGGCTCGTGCGCATTGCGTCTGAGAAGAAGCAGGTGGCGCCCCCTCCCCTCCCCCCACACTCCCTAACAACCCCTCCCCCAGTCACCTAGACACACGTGCACGTCCGCGCGCACAGACCGCGAGGCGGCCCCCTTTCCGGAGCCCGGGTAGTAATCCCTAGCGTCAGCATGGTGAGTGGATGGCGGGGGTCTGGCGGGGGTCCGTCTGGTGCCAGGCGCTGGCTAGCTCAGCTCCTGACTCCTTTTCTGTCAGACTGATGCTGCGTGTGTGTGTGTGTGTGTGTGTGTGTGTGTATGCGGGCACTCGGGGGTGGGGGCAGATTGCTTTGAGAGGTGACGCCATTTTTCAAAACACTCCCATGCACGCTTCCCGTCTTGTCATCCTTTAATCCTGTTAGCGTTTCAGCTCCGTCAGGAGTTTGCATTTGATTGCGCGGCGAAGAACATTTGACCGTCCCCACACGACGCTTATTGGGTCGAAAGTGCGTTGCGGTGACATTGACGCGATGGCCGAGACACGGGTTTGCTTGTTTTGAAACGTGCATTGACCTTTTGTCCTCAATAATCCGACACTGAATGGAAGAAGGTCTCGCTATTTTTCACACGAGTTTGGATGTGAATCGTGAACACAGCCACATTCCAGTGAAAAGAGGGGGTGCACACTTGTGCAATCACATTATTTCAGTTTATTTTTTTAAATTCAATGGCACTTGTCAGGTTATAGGTCACGTTAACGCTCGAAAAAGCTTCGTCATGATTTATCTTGGTCTCATTTTTGAAATCACAAAAAGCAAGCAGGGGTTGGTCTGTTTTATTTTTTCTTTTTTTTTTTTTTCAACCTCCCCTGGACACAAACAAGGCGTCCAATTGTGTTTGAGTTGAGCGTCTGTGGCCATTGTGTCACGCCGCTGTGATCAAGCAGCATATGCCGCGTTGTCCTGGCTAATCCGTTGGCGGTCATCGCCATTGGTTGCTGGGCTGGATGGGCCCGGACGAGGGCGGCGGGAATGGGCTTGCCGGCGGCGGGGGGGAGCGCGTTCATGAAGTGAGCAAATCGTGAGTCCATCTTTCAAGATGTGGCACAACATTGTTCCAAAGTCTTGGCACGCCCGCTGGGAAACGTGTCGTCGGTCCAAAAGTCAGCACGTGTGTGTAACGCCGCACGACGAGCGCTTGTTGCGACAGTTTTCAAGTTCGTCCCGCGCTCGCAACAATATCGGTGAAGAATTCAAGTCGCCATCATCCCGGCGTTGCTTTGCCACGAAAGTGGCGTTCAGAGACTGAAGCGCGTTGTTGACAAAGCAGTGCAGCCAAAGGAGAAAATCTCTCCTCGTGAACGCCTTCTTTCAACAACCTGTTTATTAGTTTGCCGCCCGAACGAGAGACAAAAAGGGGAGCTCGGTCCAAGAGAGCCTTCACAGTGTGACCGGCAGCAGCGTTTGTTTGCAGCGAGTGACTGCAACGGAAAAGAAAGGTTCCTGTGAGATCCTCCCGCAAGCTGGAATGTGACCCTGTAACATTTGACCCTCAGAGATAAGCGGGATGGGCCATGTCAGCCGATGAGCTTCCCTCTGTGCACGGCAACCGCTTCAAACTTTTAAGTATGTATTTTCTGTCACACCGCCTTCAAAGTTTATATCCGACGCCTAAACGGCGTGTGGAACGTTTCCGCAATGTCGGGATTGGGCTGCAGAATATTTCAAAGCTCTGTTCCCAGAATGGAAGTTGGTCCCGGTACTTTTCAGGACAAATTGAACTGCAAGCTCCAACTCGCTTGAGTTTCCATGAAGCGTCTCTCATGTCATATCATGTCCCGCTTGAACAAAAAAAAAAAAAGAAACGTTTTTGTGATCGCTGGAAGCAAAAGTCACTCCCTCGCTGCTCTCCCCCGAACTTTGGCTTAATATTATGAGAAGCCCCCAACCCCCCGCCATCTCTCCCGCTGGCCTGGTTGCCAGAGCAACTGGGCATTCTCCTGGGAGCCTCACAGGCAAGCATGCTCGCATGCTTTGATTTTGCTTGGACTTTAACTTTGATTTTTCTTTTTTTATATGCACATATTGTGATCGGTGTGTTTTTTTTTTCTTTTCCTCAACGGAAAAACAAATTGCATCGTTTGAAAGTCTCCCATTGTGAGGTAACTGTCGAGCATTTGGGGATGCATGTGGAGTTTTGGCATCTCAATCTAAGGTGGAGCTTGGCCTGCCGGGTGTCTTTGAAAACAGGCGCAGGTTCCGTTCCAGACCTGGACTGGATTCCACCCACGAATCCTCTCTCACACTACCATTACGTGAGCATACGTCATGCGGCTCTGAGCGGTTTCCTTTTTAAAAAAAAAAAAAACGACAAGGTAAAAATACCAAGAAAAAAAAGGGGACAGGAGATCTTGTCGTAAATGCTCCACTTCCAGCTTTTGGTGCCCACCGCAGCCGCCGTCCTTTCCGGGGTACGCAATCTACGACGGCTCGCCATCCTTTCTCATGGTAATTGGAGGCGCGGAATGGCCCTTCCACCCGCGTGAACTGGACTCTCGCTGTTGACAATGGACTGACTCGCTTGTGTCAACCGCCCTCGTGTGCGTGAGAAAGAAAAGCGGTTTGAAGGAAGTTTTGCTTGCAGCAGGTGGGTCAAGCTTCCTCATCTCCTTCACTCACTTAGACGAGCGTCAAGAGTTCCAATTTGGGGCCCGCTGCACCAATCCCAGACTGAAACAATGACAAAGTTTCAAAGCTTGTTTGGTTTTTCTCCTTTCACTTGTCGGCCTTCCAGTTGGAGTTCGACTTGAGCTTCTGCGGGACCGCTCGCTGTTTGCTCCTTCCTGCCCGAGATTGTCGCGGGGCTTCTGGTGCCGGGATGTTTGGAAAGGAGGTGAAAATGTTGCAGGGAAAAAAGTTAGTCGGTCCAAGTTTTGACGCGGCTTGTGTGGCTCATTTGGTGGGAGTTTGCGAGCGGGAGTATTTTTGGAGGCTGTCCCACTTGGACTGTCTATGAGCGCATTGTGCGCATGCAAATGCGCGCGGCGGACCCTTTTGGATTCCACATGGCGGAGCAAATAAAAGTGTCGCTTGATGAAAGTGGGTCAGCCCCCGAATGCGGCGCGGCCGCGCCTGCCGCCGCTCAAACGTGGGAAAGATTCCAAAGATTCTCTTTCGCGCCTCGTTGTCCGACTTGCGCAAATGCGAGCAGGCGCACCGGGCTCTCCCCGTGGGCCACGGCACCCTGAGAAATGCGGCCCCCTGAGATTGATATCAGACACATCAATCAAACAGACATACTAGGGCAGGGGGAGTCCGGGGGGGGGGGGGGGCCTTTGCTTAACATCTCCATGAACTCTGGAAAAGCTCGTCGGCGCCGTTCAGATCGCTCGCAACGTCGCTCAACGTTCCTTTTGATTTTCTCAGAAATGACGCAGCTGTCGTCGGAGCCCCCGAAGCCCGCTTCGGCCGGCGATGCCGCGCCCGCCGCCGACGCCGAGGACCCCGAGCTGAGGATGCTGGAGAAGCGATCCAAGGTGATCGAGGAGATGCTGCAGACGGAGAAGGACTACATCAAGGACCTGCAAATGTGCGTGCTGGAGATCGTCGAGCCTCTGAAGAAGAAGCAGGTAAGGAGACGCTTCCGCCTGGAACGCTGCGGTTCGGCCTGGAAGTTTTTCCGAGTTGCCCGTGATGTCTTTTTGGTTTCAAGGTGAAGAACGTGGACTATGACGGACTTTTTGGCAACATCAACTCTGTGATCGATCTGTCTCAGCGGCTGTTTGAAACGCTGGAGGAAACGGACTCTATCGGTAAGCCGTCGTCAACAGTCGGCCTCGAAGGAAGAAAATCTGTTGCCGTTTGTCGATTTCTCGATGACGCGCTTGTGTTTCGTCGGCCGGGCCTAAGGTCGAATCTTTGCGTCATGTGACTCTCCAGGAAAGGTCTTCCTGGACTTTAAAGCGGAGCTGGAGGCGGTGTACAACGTCTATTGCCAGAACCACGACGACGCCATCTCGCTGCTGGAAACCTACGAGAAAGACGAAAACATCCAGCGCCATGTGTTGGAGTGTCTGGAGAGGCTGAGGTAAAAAAAAAAACAACAAAAAAAAAAACAAAACAAATCGTGCTTGTTGAAGAGCACCGAGACTAAAATGTGTACGACGAAAAACTGCCAGAAAAGATGCGTTGTTGACGGAGGTTGGCGAGATGACGTTTCCACTGTTGGCGCCCCCAATTGGTGATACGCGCTGGGGCAAATGCCCCAAAGTTTTGAGTTCTGCTCAAACAGTCCTCATGTGGGACTTCATCTTAAAAATGGAGAATTTGACCTTGGAACAGATGAATTGACCTTATTTTCTGCATGGCTACATTTATTGATTGGAAGTCACTTTTTCCAGATAGCTTTTGGAGTCTCCACTCAGATGTTGACTAAATCACGCCAGAGAGTTGTGTGATTAATGACAAGTTTCTATTGATTTGTTTCGACTTTGCTCCGAGACAAACCACAAAAGTGGATCAAGAACCCCCCAGCCTCCGCTACAGCCGCCTTCCTACTTTCCCACTCGGCTTTTGGTTGTCAGCGCAAGCAAAAGCTCAAAGTCGGGCAGTTGAGGAATGCGCCCTACCCTGTTGCGCCTGTTTGGCCCGCACTGAGTCAGAAACTTGAGTTGACGCAACGAGCTGACGGAACACGGGGGTTGGTTTCGAACGGGAACGGCGCCGCTTCCGCTGAGAAAAGTGATCAACAAAAATGCGACGTCGTTGGCACGAGTGGAAATACTCAATGGCACATCGCCGACAAAAGTGTGCGTATTTACATGGGGGCCTCAATGCGTAGGGTACGGCAACTCGTCGGCAGCAAATTGAAGCGGTTCATTGTCCTGATTGTCGGCATCCATAAATCAGATATCCTTTGTAAGTCGGGGGTGTCCGCAAACGTTTTGGTTGGAGGGGCCGCATCGAGAAAAACGGAAGGACGAAAAGTTGGCCACTTTGAAATGGGCCAACTCTTTTTGAAACACGCTCAAGAAATCGTTTGTATTGTCTCGTTCATCTCATCAGCTTTCTGTTCAAGGGGAGGCGAAAATAGTTGAGAAAGTTTTTGGGGTGGCTAACGGCATTCTGAGGCTCATGAATCCTGTTATCTCTTCTCACTCCCTCACGTCCACAGGGCCATATATCGAGAGTGGTAAGTCTCCACAAAGAGTGTTGCCATGAGCATGTCAATCATCCTGATTGCTAACACCCTTTGATTGACCTTTGTGTGTCCCGCGTGCGCATGTGTGTGTGTGTGTGTGTCTCATTGCCCTCCTCGGATGGAAATCGTTGTGGTCTTTGCATGTGGCCGTTGAATGAGACATCCGGGGTCGCTTCTGTGTGGCATCAAAAAAAAAAAAAAAGTGGTAAGTCCTTATTCAAGCCCTGTATGTCGGTTAAAAAAATGTCGAGATTCTGAAATGTATTTTAAAGACAAAACGGGGTTTTTCAAGCATTTTTGGGAGACAAACTTGCATCATAAAGGCCTCTTCTCAGGGTCCACAAACTCTTGGGTAAGCGTTCATAAAGCATCTGGGAAGTGGGAAACTAACGCCATCATGTGGACTCAAATGGGCAAAACAAGAACAGACGCAGCTTCGCTGCTTTGTTTTCAAGTCGAGCTCTTCTGTCCTCTCGATGGCATTAAGAGGGATTCGTTTAGTTCCTTATCGTGCCGCTTCAGTCATGTTGCCTTCGCTCCATTTGTTGCTGTCAACACGGGCGCCCACGTGACGTATTTCAATTTTGGTTGCACTCATCCATTTTATTCTTCTTATTTTTTTGGGGGGGGGGTGTTCAGGGGCAAAACAAACTACATCAACCTGGGCTCTTTCCTCATCAAGCCGGTGCAGCGGGTCATGCGCTACCCGCTGCTGCTCGTGGAGCTGCTGGGGGCCACGCCCGAGAGCCACCACGACCGGCCCCAGCTCGCTCAGGCCCTGCAGGCTGTCAAGGAAATCAACGTCAACATCAACGAGTACAAGCGCCGGAAGGACCTTGGTGAGAATTTCAGTGAGCGTCCGACGTCAACGGTTTGTTCTCACTTCCCCCACCCCTTTTCCCGCCCGCTGTCCCCAGTGGTGAAGTACAGGAAGGGCGACGAGGACACGTTCATCGACAAAATCTCCAAACTGAGCATGCATTCCATCATCAAGAAGTCCAACCGTGTCAGCAGTCACCTCAAGCACCTGACGGGAATTTCACCCCAGGTACAAACGAGGCTTCCTCACGGCTGCTCCAGATTCTGCACACTGCTCGTGCGCGTGAGACATCGTCGGTTCTAAACGTCCCGTCCCGGCTCAGATTAAAGACGAGGCGTTCGACGAGGCTGAAAGGAGGTTCCGGCTGCAGGAGAGACTCATTAAATCTTTCGTCCGGGACATTTCCTTGTACCTGCAGCATATCAGGGTACTTCCATTTTGGCGCGGCTCCCGATACGTCGGCGGCCTGCGGTGACTGACGCTTTTGAATCTTGGGCAGGAATCGGCCTCGGTGAAGGTGCTGGCGGCCATCAGCTTCTGCGACATCTACACGGAGCAAAGTCTCCCCGACCCGGAGCGCTTCCAGAGAGCCCATCGCTGCATCAGCGACAAGCAGTTCACCGAATTTGTAAGTGAAGTCCCGCCTCGGGATGTCTCATCTGCACTCATTGGAGATGGCAAACGTAGAAGTCCAGATACTTGCGTAGAAAAAAAAAAAAAAAGTGGTAAGTCCTTATTCAAGCCCTGTATGTCGGTTAAAAAAATGTCGAGATTCTGAAATGTATTTTAAAGACAAAACGGGGTTTTTCAAGCATTTTTGGGAGACAAACTTGCATCATAAAGGCCTCTTCTCAGGGTCCACAAACTCTTGGGTAAGCGTTCATAAAGTGTGTGAAAGTGCAGTGTAAAAAAAAAAAAAAAAACAAACGAAAAAAAGTGACTAGAATAAATGCACAAGCGAGCACTGCGGTGTATGACTTGAACCGAGCTAGCAATGCTAACGTGACCCAGCCATAAATCCGAAGCGAGCCTCGTGTCCTTGTTTGCTTCTGTCACGGTATGCAGAAGCATGAAAGCTCCTCTCTTCGAAGAGAGCAGAGGCTCGGAAGTCTGAACCGTACGCGGCGAGCGCTTTAGTCGCCCACGGACTGTATGGATAGAACAGCCGGTGACCGCACGTTGCTTTCCGCCACCGGCATTCATCCCCGTCTCGTTCCGCTTTCCGTTGAGCAGAAGGAGCGCACGGAAGCTTTGGTGATCAACCCGCTCACCCAGCTACTACTCATGTTCGCCGGGCCTCACAAGCTGGTCCAGAAGCGTTTCGACAAGCTGCTGGACTACGACAGTTGCAAGGAGCGAGCCGAGCGCCTCAAGGACCGGCGGGTTCAAGACGAGCTGCAGGTGGCGCGCAGCAACTACGAGGCGCTCAACGCCCAACTTTTGGACGAGCTGCCAAAGTTCCACAGCGCCGCCGAGGAGCTCCTCGCCGGCTGCATCAAGGCCTTCGCTCAGGCTCAGAAAGACTTCATGAAGACGACCCTCGGGGAGCTGAAACCTCTCCTTCAAGCCGTGAGTCGGATTTGGTCGGGTCGGCGATTTCCGCAAGGGGCTTCGGAGCAACGTTCTTTGCGTTTGTCTCTAGTTTTCTCGCAAGGTCGGCACTGAGGGCAACTTGGTGGCCCAGTTCCAAGAAGAGTACGGTCGCGTGCTTCAGCTGCTGCAGAGCTTCAGCTTCTGCCCTGAAAACCTGCCCGCAGCCGCCGCCGCCGCCGTCGCCACAACCGGCGCGACCGTTAGCCCCAGCAAGAAAACCCTGGAGAAGCACAGCTCCAAAAAGCAACTCCAAGGACCCGTGAGTTCCACCATTTGCCCCACCTGCACCCTCATTCCATTTTGTGTTGAATTTCCGAAAGTCTTCCGTGTCCAGGAGGGTCAAAGTCGCCGTCCGTCTTAAATAAACAGAACTTAAAGGGGTAGCTTCCGGTGTCGAAATCGTCGATAGCCCCGAGCGAGTGCGTTGCATCGCGCACGGCCTAACCCTGGGACCCGGTCCCTCCCGTCCATCCAGCCCAACTGCATCTTGCAGACCGAGCAGCATCGCGCCGGCCTGATGGCGCGCTACGGTCCCGGGAAACTCTTCCAGGCCGAGAGGAACTTCAATGCGGCCCAGGATCTGGACGTGTCCATCCTGGAGGGGGACCTGGTGGGCATCATCAAGCAGCAGGACCCGATGGGGAGCAACAATCGCTGGCTGATTGACAACGGCGGTAGGTCCAACCGCTCGCAAGCTTGAGATTGGAAGAAAGTGAAAACCGGTCACGCCATTTCAACTTTTCCTCTTCTCGCTCCGCAGTCACCAAGGGCTTCGTGTACAGTTCCTTCCTCAAGCCCTACAACCAGCGCCGGAGCCAGTCGGACGTCTCCATCGAGAGCCAGTCGTCCAACGAGTCGGGCTACGGCGGCTCCTCGCCCGTTTTCTCTCGCCAGAACAGCAACAGCACGCTAACCTTCAGCCAGGAAACGGCAACCGTCAGCTTCTCCACGACGCAAGCCCAAAGCCGCTCGTCTCCGCACCCGTCCCCGGACTCCGCCCCGTCTCGCGGGCTTCACCCCGACCCGGCCGGTCAGAGCGACTCCTCGCCGCGGAACCCCTCTGACCGCAAGGAGTCGGCCGAGCGCCGCGCCGCCTCCGGTCAAAGGAACGTCGAGTCTTCGCACCAGAGCTCGGGCCGCCACGGGGACCCGTACGATGGCAGTCGCGCCGGCCCGAGTGACCAGTCGGAGACGGACTCCTCTTCCTCGCGCAGAAACGCCTCGCAGCAGAGACACGGCGACAAGGCTTCCAACTCTTACCGGTGGAGGAACGGCGGCCTCGAGAAATCCGCCTACTCTCTCGACGACTTCAGCGAGCCCGAATCGGAGCGCGATGCGGAATTGGACGGGCACCAGGTGAGCTTTGCCCCGGTTGCTTAAAATACTGACTTGCGTACCAAAACGAAAAAGCACGGTTGAATAGCTAGGCAACGTATTCAAAACTAGGAAAAAGTAACCAGGAAATCGTCTTTTTCAGATCTACTTTGCCCTGTACTCCTTCAGTGCTCGTTGCGCCAACGAACTGAGCATTTCGGCCAACCAGCGTCTACGCATCCTGGAGTTCCAGGACATGAACGGCAACGCCGAGTGGTGGCTCGGCGAGGCCGGCGGCCGACGAGGCTACGTGCCGTCCAATTACATCCGGAAGTCCGAGTACACCTGAGCGTTTGCGACACGGCGCTGAGACTGTTTGCGCAGAGGCAACACAACCACAAACAAGCGGCTTATTTTTGAAGTGATTGACTTTTGCTCCTAGCGCCATGCCCGTATTTAAAGAAAAAAAAATATAGTACTTTCCATTGAACCCTGTAAAGTAATGAGGATAATACATTGAGTATTAATAACACATCGTGAAAGGTTAAAAAGAGACCCATTTTTTTTAAATTGGGGGGGGGGGGAACCCGACCACTGTGTTCATTGCACTTTCTCCATTTGGCATCATAAGAATGGTGTGGCTATGCCGAACTGTACCCAACAATCAAAGTGTGAGTGTGTTGCAGTTTGAGGAGAGTGTGTGTGTGATTTTTTTGATTTTATTTTTTTTTTTAAATCTGCACTCCTTAACTTCTCTCCATGTCAGTGGCCTATTTTTTATTTTTTTAAACCTGGAGTGACACTGTGAAATGATGTGGGAAAAACCAAGTTTTGACCTCTTTGTTCAATAAAGGAGAGCATGTTTGCTCCCTGTGTACATACTGTATGTAATGTTGTTGTATATGGAATATTTGCGTGCCATCTCACCTTTTTGATTAAACCAACCATGTGAGAATGACTCTTTGGACAAATTCTGTTTATTTCATCCCTTTTTCTTATCCTTAATATAGTCCGACTAATTTTGGGGGGGAGGCGATGTGGTCACCGGCCGAGGCGCGCACCAGAATGAACATAACAAGCGAAGGGGAAAGTGTGACAAGAACAAATTGAAATTGCCATGACTGTTTGGTTTTATCAAGCACATTTGTGGAAAGCTGTTTTTAAGAACTGCATTTCAATTTGACTGGGAAAGATGATTTGAGTGACGAGGGACCTCCATTCTGGAATCCTCTGTTTCTGAGCAGAAACTTGGTCTTGAAATGTCCATTTCAATGGGAAAAATGACTTGCGAGACTTTTACAAGACACCGCCATGCTTTCGTTTTCATCCGACTGGGAAAGATGATTTGAGTGACGAGGGACCTCCGTTATGGAATGCTCTGTTTCTTAGCAGAAACTTGATCTTGAAATGTCCATTTCAATGGGAAAAATGACTTGCGATACAAGACACCGCCATGCTTTCGTTTCCATTTGTCCTTTCGCTTTGGTTGTTATTCGGCGGTAACCAAGGACAGGTCAATAAAACAAAGGTTAGTTTGAGCCCCATGCAGTTTAAACACACAAATTTGGGCAAGAGGGGTGGATGAGTTGGGCTAAAGATTGACTTCTTCAATCCCCCGGGGGCTATAAAAATAGCCCCATTTTTTTGCTTGTCATCATACTGTACTGGAACACAGTGCCATGTTGTCTGCGGGCCTCCTGCTTGTCTGCGTGAGCCTACTCGGAGTCCAAGGAATCCGGACGTCTGTGAGTCTCCCGATGTTTTCAAAAGTCGGCACAAAGAATCCGCCCTGACGCATTTGTTGCTTTGTGCGTTTCAGCTGGACGGCATGGGTAAATAGGCTGCGGCTGTGAGGATCCACTCGTCTATGAATTGATCTAAAATCTTGTCAAGTATCCAATTGAAAAGGCTTCCGGTTGAAAATTCAAGATGAACCTCAAATAACCTTCACAGATTGCACTTCATTTCAACGTCTGTGAAGCTTTTCACTGTACATGTCCGGCTCTTTACTTTTGTGTTCAGAACCACCATTCGAATGATAGAAAACAAATGACAAGTATGAAGCTGCAAAGACACCTTCCTCATTAAAGTAAATGTATGCCGTGGTTGCGCTGTGCTTCTGTCAACCTCAAGCAAACACAACCGCGCCCATAAAAAAAGGCTTCCGAGTTCATCTAGCCAGCGGGCTCATACAAATGTGTACGTTTGAGCTCTGAAAATATATCCGCTTTGCCCCCTGTGGTGGCTGGAATATTTCCCACAAGATGGGAACTGCTGGCTTGCAAGCGAAGCTGGTAACTTTATCTTCAAACGTGTGTTTGGAAACAAATGTCAATTCACTTGTCATGGTCGTTCACCTATTCAAGGTGACAGTGCATTTTAGGGTCATCCTGAAATGTCTCTGTGTGTGTGTGTGTGTGTGTGTGTGTGTGTGTGTGTGTGTGTGTGTGTGTGTGTTTTCTTTGTTTTTGTCAGATTCTGACGATGGACAACATCCCATACGAAAAAGTTTCCCGCGCTTCTTTTCTGACACAACCTCATGGGTGCGTCAAAAACTAACTTTCCGCAAAGGTGAGTTTTTCTTTTCCCTTTAGTCATTTGATGAGCACTTTACGCATGTACAGACGTGAGTGCATCGAATCGGAACCGAATAGAATTGTTCTATTTTAAGTCCAGCATTCTTGAATCATACTGCCCCCTATTACATGACGTTACATCTGTATTCTAAGAGTGCTTTCACAACAGCTGCAGCTGTAACAAAGCGCTTTACAGAACATTTCACATAAAATAATAATACACCATGGATCAAATTGTCTTTTAATGGAAAAATGCACGCCCTTTATAAACAAATGCCACATTTCTTTTCTTCACACGTGTAGCCATATTATAAAATGACAACAAACTCACTGCATCATACCCGCTCGAACTGAGCCACAGTCAATCGAATTGTAATACCACTGAATCGAAGCAAATCGAACCGTTCCATTTTCAAATGTACTGTCCTTGAATCGCATCCCGTGACATGCGTATCCGGTTTTCTTTTCATCGCCTCAAAGCAGGGGTGTCAAACTCCGGTCCTGGAGGGCCGCTGTCCTGCATGTTTTCCAAGTCTCCCTGTTGCAACACACCTGATTCAAATGAACAGGTTCAATATCAGGGTTGCGCAGAGCTTTCTGATGATCTGATCATTCTAATCAGGTGTGTTGCAACAGAGAGACTTGGAAAACATGCAGGACAGCGGCCCACCAGCATCCTCAAAGTCATGTTACGCAATAATCTCCCATTTCTTGACAACGTGTAAAAGAAATTGTTTAAATAAAAGGTGTTTTAATAAGTTCAAGTGTATTTCAATATATTTTGATGGGTTCAAAATGCGTGCGAATGACAACAATATGACTGTGTTGTTGACCAGGAAAGGTTTTCTTGCTTTTTTCCTTTCAGAGCCTGAACTTTGTGATCCAAACCCATGCTTTCACAACGGCCAATGCAACGTCCTTTCTGACAAAGTAACGTGTTCGTGTCGCGAGCCTTTCATGGGCGACAAGTGTCAAAAAGGTCAGTTGATTTCAATATTACAAAGTAGTCTGGCTACATATGGTGGTGTTGTGCAGTGGTTACTTGATTTGCGAGATTTATTCGAATTGTCATTGATCTATTCCAGCCCCCTAAAACACCAGCCCCCCAAAAACTAAAACATGTTTTTAAACAAGAAAAATGTAATCTTACTTGATAAAAACAACGTAATAGTATGATTAAATAAAATGTAAAGAAAATTCGTGCGTCATAATTCAATGGTGCATTACGCTGCTCATCATTCGTGTGTGCCCGTATTGGCCACCAGGAGGCAGAGTGCTTTCACAACAGCTGCAGCTGTAACAAAGCGCTTTACAGAACATTTCACATAAAATAATAATACACCATGGATCAAATTGTCTTTTAATGGAAAAATGCACGCCCTTTATAAACAAATGCCACATTTCTTTTCTTCACACGTGTAGCCATATTATAAAATGACAACAAACTCACTGCATCATACCCGCTCGAACTGAGCCACAGTCAATCGAATTGTAATACCACTGAATCGAAGCAAATCGAACCGTTCCATTTTCAAATGTACTGTCCTTGAATCGCATCTCGTGACGTGCGTATCCAGTTTTCTTTTCATCTCCTCAAAGCAGGGGTGTCAAACTCCGGTCCTGGAGGGCCGCTGTCCTGCATGTTTTCCAAGTCTCCCTGTTGCAACACACCTGATTCAAATGAACAGGTTCAATATCAGGGTTACGCAGAGCTTTCTGATGATCTGATCATTCTAATCAGGTGTGTTGCAACAGAGAGACTTGGAAAACATGCAGGACAGCGGCCCACCAGCATCCTCAATGTGATGTTACGCAATAATCTCCCCATTTCTTGACAACGTGTAAAAGAAATTGTTTAAATAAAAGGTGTTTTAATAAGTTCAAATGTATTTCAATATATTTTGATGGGTTTAAAATGCGAGGGAATGACAACAATACGATCTGTGTTCGCCTAATGTTTTTTTTTTGTTTGTTTGTTTGCTGTGGTTTTTTTTTAATTGAATATTCAGCTAAAGATGTCTGCAAGGATATGAATTGTCATTTTGGTGACTGCGTGTTGAACTCGGCTGGAGGACCAGAGTGCAAGTGCACATACCCCTACCTCGGAACCAACTGCCTCCAACGTGAGTATTCAAGTATTTTGGTTCAAATTTGTTTTCTGCAAATGCATCACCGACTCCATCAAGAGTGTAGTCAAGTATACGTTATTTCTTGCAGACAAATTACACAGACTGCCAGCAGTTAGATTGAGAGATTTGGCATATTTTGAGTGTTGTTATGTTTGTTGCTGTGTCAAAATGAAATAATTCAACAATGAAATGGCTAGAAAGCAAACGTATTACTCAAAATGTATTCATAATAGTTACTGCATATACATATGAAAGCTGGATTGGTGTTATTATCACATATGTGGAATTTAATGTGAAATAATGGCAAAAAAATATTGGTTGAAAATAAATAACCAATAAAATAAAAGATTAAAAGATGGATTAATTGCTGAGAATAGCAAATGTATAATTAATGAATGTATGAATGACTAAATTAAGGGAGGAATATATTTTTAAATAATTGCCCTAAAAACTTTTGTCTTGGTATAACTCCATAAAATAAATGATTAAAAATATCTAAAACATAATTGATCATTTATATTTCATAATTAGTAAGCCACGAATGACGGACTAATCCAGTCAACTCCTGCAATTCCTTTCTTCTTGTGCCAAAATGAAATAAACATGGAGTCAATCTAGGAAATGATTAAAATTTGAATGAATTGCAAACAAATAAATCATCAATGAAATGATGAAAGAACAATTCATTTGAACCTCTCAGAGATGAATGAAGTCAACGGATTCCGATTTTTAATCACCGTATGGTTTGCCAACTTTGATTCCTGTTTTGCCAACTTTGAACCTCGGTCGAGCAGAGCAAGCCGTTCCCTGCAGTCCCAATCCTTGCCACAACGGAGGCGTCTGTATGGAGCAAAATCGCCACCAAACTATGATCTATTTAAATGAAGCTCTCTCCAGTCCATCATGATTGCTCGGGAGCAATTTGCCACCTCATGGAGCCAAAGCAATATTTGAGAAATAACTCTGGCCTACGCACAAAAAAATAGCAAATGGGGAGTGTTTCAGTTCAATGACAGAAATACAGGCGAAATCACCCCAATACCGAATAGCCCATGTGCAGCAGACTTCCACTGTACAAACAGTCCTAATTCAAACAGTTCCAATATCAGACAGGCAAGTTGACTTAAATTTGGAGACATTTTGCAGTGGAATCACTGCTTTGTGTTAAATATATTGTTGTATACGGAACAGCCCTTGGCTACAGGCAATTGGAGGCTTTGTTGGGCAGAAATTAAATGTCCCGCCCCCACTGGTTCTCAGCCATTGTTATCAGAATTTATGCATCTTATTTGTATTGTATTCCCCCCACTGCCCACTAACACTGTCCTGCTTTCTTCTCTCCTCTTCCCCTTTTTTT